GTCACCAAAGTACACCAATATATATATATATATATATATATATGTGTGTGTGTGTGTGTGTGTGTATATAGCTCGATTCAACCTACTTTATCAAAACTGACTGCAAATATGACTTATAAACCTGCTATGACCATAAAAACAAGAAAATATTTTAAGGTCAACGCAGATTGTTAAGTTTTCTACAAGTTTTAAAGTAAGTGCACAAAATGAAGTGCGTGTATATAATTAATCTGTTATTGTGCAGGCTTAAATGGACTCGCTGATGAAACTAGAATCGGTGTTGATGCTACGTTGCTTAAAATAACCTTTGTTTAAACTTAACGTGTAAAAAATATATTGTTTATATTTGCGGCATGTTTTTTTGGTTTATAGACGCTTTATCAAAAGCTATATCTACGGAAGGATATCGAGAAGATTTAAAAAGTTTTATGTCTGAAGAACCAAATTGTATTGATAGTAGTAGATATATGTAACTTCCCTTTTTCCAAAGGGGACCGGATGTGGTTGAGTAGTTAGCCGCAGAAAAACAACAAAAAACGCACTCCGCACTCTGGAGCCATGAGTGGGTTGTAAGAGTGGCTGTCAAATCCTACTATTCGATAAGAGCAGCTCAAGAATTTGCAGTGTGTGCCGTTGATTAGCTGTCTTCATCTTCGTCCATCAGCTCAAAACTAAGATGGCTAGCGCAGATAGCCCACGTGTAGGTTTTTGCGAATATAGGAAACTGACTCTTCATAGACACAATATTAATACGAGTATACAAAAAAATTGACATTGGGAAATTTAAGAAAGCATTTTTTACTCGCACTTTAAGTGTGGGCAAAATGTTTCTTAATATTTAAATTTTCTCAGCGAGCTTCATCTCTTAAGCTACAGTGTATGAATGAATCCATTCATTTAATGTGAGAATCCATTTCGTTTTCAGCATGTATTTTAACTTTTCACGAGATTTTTTGAAGTAATTAAAACGTCAAGTTACATAACTTCAAACACTGGTGGCCCGGCATGGCCAGGTGGTTAGGGCGTTCGACTCGCAATCTGTGGATCGCGGGTTCGAATCCACGTCACACCAAACGTGCTCGCCCTTTCAGCCGTGGGGGCGTTATAATGTGACGGTCAATCCCACTATTCGTTGGTAAAAGAGTAGCCCAAGAGTTGGCGGTGATAACTAAGGTACCTTCCTTCTAGTCTTTCGCTGCTAAATTAGGGACGGCTAGCGCAGATGGCCCTCGTGTAGCTGTGAGCAAAATTCAAAACAAACCAAACACTGGTATAGGTAGATCTGAATTAGGCTTGTGTTGCTAGACTGCTTATTTAAACTATGAAGAAGCGACACCTAAGATATGACTTGTTGGAATTTTTTTTTTATCCTGTGAATAGAATTAAACTTTAGTTTTACATACACAATTGATTTTTTTCACGTGTAAAACTGATCAAGAATACATTTTTGTGTTTCTTACTTATTCGTGATTGATCACAGTGGATAGAGTAAACAATGTGACGTTTACGTCAAATGAACCTTCTTTTTATTCTTTAAATGGCTAGAGTCATTCTTGCTATGAGTGGCTAACAACTAACTTGTTTTGACAGTTATGATTTCACTAAGATTGGAACTTTGAGATTTTTTTTAATGGATCGAGTAGCAAATTCAGCTATGAATTTCACGCAACATTGAAGCTGGAAGAGAACAGTTTTTTTTATACAGACTTAAAAGCACTAGCAAATGTCAGCTTACATAAAAAGAACATTATCTCCTTCGTACAATTGCTGGACCGAGATAATCGGAAAATGTGAAAGAAAACTGAACTCAATCAACTTTGAAAGTCGGAACTTGTTCTTTCTACACAAAAATAAATAAATAAATAAAAGCTTACCAATAGAAATTTTCACCTAGAAATGTTTTTAATGGAATCGTTTCGCTTATTTTTTTCTAGTAACAAATGACATAATTAAAAGAGTAAATTATGAGAATATTCTCATTATAAAATGCAAGGAGTAAAATATAAATATAACATTCATATATAAAACGTTTAACTATTAATGACTAAGAGTAACTTTCATAGTAAATGAAGTAGGTATAGTGGAAAGTGTTATGCAGGATAAAAAGGTGAGAGGAAAGTGAGGATACAATTTCTCAAAATGGAAACAGAAGTGGTGAATAAAAACTAAAGGTCACTGATGAGTGAGTGGCTGAACTTATAAAAACATTTGAAAAATAAGAAAATATATATACATGAAATATTCGTAAAAAAAGAAATGGTGAGAAATATAACGTGTAAGAAATCAATACAAAGTAAGTATACCTTTAGAGACGGTGTGATCGATACGCACAAGAAAAAATCGAATTCACTGAGTGATGAAGTGATAGAGAGAAATAGCAAGTGATGGAGGAAAAAGAAAAGATGAAGAAGATTAAGACAGAACGCTGTTCGTGAGCTGAAAGAGGCAGATTTTAATGATAGACAACAAAGAAGAAAGCTTAAAAAAGATATGCTTTAAACTGTTAAGGAAAGTATTTAATGTCCAAGAATAAAACGGTAAAGAGCAACGAAGGAAGTGATATGGTGAAAAAGGAGGAAGAAAGAGAGAGATGGTTGTTAAGTATTTCCTTATTTTTTCACATTCATTTAAAAAGTTAAACCTCGTTCTTGAAGCGTTTTTTTTTTCTTGTAAGTTTCATGCAGTTTGAAAACAAAAGTCTTCTCTAGTAGCTTCAGATGAACTGCAATGCAGCGTAGTTATTAATATCGCAAAACTAGAGATTCGAAAAATATACATGCAGTGTGTGTGAAACAAGTCTGATTCAACTTGAAAGAAAATCTGGAGACAAATGGTTCACTGAGAAACGACGTGTTAATGATGAATAGTAGTAGAAAAAACATTTATGGTGGGCAACTGTAAACACTTGCCTATATCCACGGTTTGTTAATTTTTTTGTTTATTTTAAGTGTAAAAGATAGCTGCTCGAAGGCGACAACAAAACTGATAGCTACGAAGAAATGTTTGAAGTAAGAAAAACTAGCTATGGCTGAACTGTACT